CCTTAACACTTTCATTATGTTCTAGTTTATCGATGATCCTTTGATTCTCTTACATCTCCCTTTCCTGATTCAGAGACTCCCCAAAACCGACTATGAAATCCTCTGCTTCCCGAATATTTCAAGTTTGTCCTTCATTCTACAACCCAACTATCTTAACTCAACGCAAATTCATCTTTGACCTATCAACATTTATCACATTTCCAGTGTTCTATCAGAATATGTCACTAAAGCAGCTGAAGACTGAAATGAAAAATTACGTGCAAAAAAATTCGATGAATAAATCAGTTACTAACCACAACAATATCATTTCACTGATAGAACAATCCGATAAGATTACAACTAAGAGAAATAAATCATTTTGAAATAGAGACGAATAAATTTAAATGACTACTGATTTAAGCAAGCTACAAGCTATAATATAATAAACGAATAGAGCAAGTCTCCTAGAATGAACAAGTGATGTAATTGAAACACGACGTACCACAAACAGGACAACGATAACAATTGGAGCATCGATTCTTCTTCTGCCTTGCCTCACCCGTTGAGAAGTTGTCCAGGCAATACGGGCAGAATGTCGTGTCTAGTTCTTGACTGACGCAGAAATAACATTTCAATTGCGAGCAATGACGACAGAAGTACAGACGATTCAGACTGCTCCATTCACCACAACTGCACTCGTACTGCACTTCATCTATCGACAACAACGATGCCATCCAATGCCACTGAATAAACAATACCGCTATCAATCATAACGATCTCGAGTTATTTCATATTTCAACGAAAATTACTGACGCAGAATATCGATGAGAAGGGTGAAACGGGTGGAAAAATTCTCTGCAGCAATTTCGAGTATATCAAAGATGCGAATTTGCTGGGCACTTTTGTTTCCATCTGTCATAATTGGATACCTAACTGACTGTAACTGCATATGGCCTTTCAAAAATCATCAGATTCCTTTCAAGATCCACCTTCAAAAAATTATCAGATTATCGCCCGGAAAACTTTTCGCCTATCCACTCCATCTCAACGCTATCAATAACAATTTTTTAAACAGAAGAATCACACAGACTTTTTCTTTCAGCCATAAATTATATTTACTTACATCCCATCCACACCTACCACTCACTTATTCTCAGATGTACGGAACAAATCAGAGTTGAAAAGCGAGCGTTTTCAATGACCAATCACAAGATATCCCATCGGCGGCCACTGAAAAAAAAACAAATTCTGAACTTCAGTCGGTGGCTATCGGAACTTTGGGGCGACGAATTTTCAGTTTCCATCAACGAACGGTTACCGAAATCCAGTCTTCAATGGCCATCAACCTAACTCTAGAACGCACGGCTGATCCCTATTCACGGTTACTGTAAAACACTTCCACCCTGATGAATTCTCAGCCGAAAATCCCCAAAAAAAAGTTCCAACGAAAAGAACATTTAAATGTTAAACGAAAGGAAACAAAACTCTAATAATCGAACTT